GCTTTTTGATCGGTAGATTCGGTTGACAGTTGGGACCGAATTTTTCAGGAACCGCGTTCTATAACCTAACCAGATTTCCGGAGTGGTTAAGTTACGGAGTGGTTAAGTTACGGAACGGGAACCGGAAAAACCAAGAAACTTGGTTAACTTACGGAACGTCGCCTTAGTTTTCCATAAACTATCATTTGGCAACAACTTTGAATTTAACCGGAGATTACATTTAGCCGAAATTTTTAAGCATAGATTAAACTCAAAGTTGGTGTCAAATGATAGTTTATAGAAAACTAAGACAAGAATGTATGATAAGATTTGCTCTAAAATTAACCGTTTAGGTTCTACAGCCTGTCAAAGTTGCAAAAAAGTCAATTTTCAACTGTCAATATTTCCGAAACAGTTGAAGATAGGTATAGGATATGATACATGAAATAGGTAGAATTTAACGTAGAATTTAAAAATGAAATAAAAAGTTGGTGTTTTCATTTAAAAAAATAAAGTTAGCTGTCATAACTTGTTTTTGAGTCACCCTGTATACATGGTATTATCATCAAAAAAACGGCCACTAAAATCAAAAATTGACGTGTCCGAGGTTTTTTGCAAAATATCCACCCTGTATATTTTATAGATTTTATTACAACCTTTACGTGCTCACTGTAAGTAGGTACTTATATGTTTATGTAAAAGTAATATAAGCATTAACTCATCCTTATAATTGAAGAACGTCGATAGCCTATAAGAATTAAATTTCTTGTATGTTTGCCCCAACATTTTTGTCAGACAATTACATTTTTTATTTAAGAATATAATTACTGGTAACCTACTTTTGTCGGAAAAATATTTGTAAAAAAAGGGATAACTGAACCCAATATAAACTAAGCAGCAGATGAAGTGGGACACCCGAAAAATTGCCTAATTTTGCTATAACTTCTACATTTTTTTGCCGATCTTGGATTGTGAACCACTGTAATAAAGCGCCATCCTTGGTCTATGCGTCAGTGTCGTCGTACATTTTTTTTTTAAATCCTTCTCCTTATACAGGGTGTGAATGTAAGGCGGCGAAAAATTTCGATTTTTTGGCGAAGAATATGAGAAAGATGGGGGATCCGATAAAGTTCTTTCTGATGCTGGGTGAATCACTGGGTCAATACCTCGGGACGTCTTTGCCATTTTTTCGATACACTGCGTTACTATGGAAATATGGCCATTTTATGGAATTTAGTTTTCCTCTTGAAATTAGCGATTCTTTAATTGAACAATAACAGATTCCGTCTAAATTGCATCAAGGAATGACTTGTATAGAAAATGGTCAACACCAGCGGCGTGCAAAAGGGGGTTTATGAAATTAAAATAAAAAAAATCGATTTTATCTGAAATTTTTGAGTTTTGTTAAGCGTTAAAATTTAAAAAGTGTTATGAATAATTGTGATGAGTTTGATTTTGATATCCAGAGGCGTTCAGTATAGAAAAACATTTTCCCCATTTTTTTAGACTTTATTATGCATTTTTACATAAAAAGCTAATACAATAGTTAATTATTTTTATTTAGTAAGGCATTGGTCCTCCTCTAGCCTGAATCACTACCTGACACCGCCTTGGCATGCTCAGAATTAAGCGATTAATTAGCTCCATAGGAACTGACTTCCAGAGCTCCAGAATCATCTCCTCGAGATCGTCTAGAGTTTTTGGCTGACGTTCTCCCCGAGAAAGCTGTAACTTCATCCAGCTCCAGACGTGCTCAATCGGATTCATGTCTGAGGATCTAGGAGGCAATTCGGTACGATTGAGATTTTGCCATTGCAGGCCGAGCATTATCGTCTAACAAGAACAAAACCCTCGCCATAATTTCGAGCATGTGGGAGAACTTGCGGAATCAGAGATTCATTCAGGTAGACTTGGCCGGTAATATTGCCGCTACGAGTTTTATCCTTCCGTTGTGTTGAATACCGCCAAATGCAACTTGGGAACGCAAGATTTCTTGTAAAAATCTCCCCATCTCCACCAAGTTAGCAATCGGCCGTCGGAATTGTACGGGTTGAAACGGTATTCATCAACGAAAAGACAGTCTCTCCACCTGAAATCCCAATTCAGGTATTCCTGGGCCCATCTTTTTCTGTTCGCCTGATAAATGTTCGTACAAAGTGGGACTTTGCCCGACGGCGAGCATTTAATCCCTGATCATGTAGGCGCCTTCTAATGGTGTCTGCTGGAACATTCAACTGCAGATGCTTGGATTCTCTTGGCAGTCCAAACTCTATTTCCAACCGCAGTACGTACTACTAGTCGATCCTGACGAGGATTTGTTCTTTTTTGAGATCCTCCACCGTGTCGGTAAGCAGCAGTACCGTTGTTAGCTTCTCTTTGCAACGCTCTTCCCGCACGGACGATTTATTGACATTAAGTAAGTCAGAAATCTCTCTAATTGTATGATTTCTCTACTGCAATGTTAAAATATTCTCTACATCAGCACTCGTAAGTCGCGCCATTTGGACCATGGCAATTCAAATTTTGACAGAAAATGCATTACATGATGGCAATGCTTTACAAGGTTTGTTCGTATCACGTTAACATTAAATAAAATGGAAGAAAATGAAAAATGCTGTTTTTTTTTTCACCAAACGCCTCTGAATCTCAAAATCAAACTCATCACAGTTATTTATAACACCTTTTAAACTGTAACGCTTAACAAAACCGTTAAAATTTTCAAATAAATCGATTTTATGTATTATAATTTCATAGACCCCCTTCTGCACGCCGCTGGGGTTGCCATTTTCAATACAAGTCATTCCTTGATGCAATTTAGACGGAATCTGTTATTGTTCAATTAAAGAATCGCTAATTTCAAGAGAAAAACGAAATACCATAAAATGGCCATATTTCCATAGCAACGCGATGTATCGAAAAAATGGCAAAGACGTCCCGAGGTGTTGACCCAGTGATTCACCCAATATCAGAAAGAACTTTATCGGACCCCCCATCTTTCCCATATTCTTCGCCAAAAAATGAAAAATTTTCGCCGCCTTACATTCACACCCTGTATAAGGAGAAGGAATTTTTTTAAAAATGTACGACGACACTGACGCATGGACCAAAGATGGCGCTTTGTAACAGTGGCTCACAATCCAAGATCGGCAAAAAAATGTAGAAGTTATAGCAAGTCAAAATAAGGCAATTTTTTGGGTGTCCCACTTCATCTGCTGCTTAGTTTAGTTAAGAAATATAGATTACCAATAAAAATTACATTTTTTGTCCGACTGTGGATATGCCCCAATATTTTTGTCTGACACTTAGATTTTTTGATTTAGCATATAATTACTTAGACCCTCCTATTTTTGTCGGAAAAATGGTTGTAAATAAAATTGTTGCAGGAAATTGACATCTTTGGCGCATCCGACTGCGCATTTGCCCCGTGAAAATTGTCCGACAAGGTTACCACGTTATTGTAAAATATTTTTATGGCAGATTCTGTTCAAATCAGCCGTGTGGTAATAATTTTTTTTTCCCATAAATTTGACATATTTAACGTGTCCGACGCGTCGAATGCCCCAATATTTTTGTCCGACACATTTTTTTTCGTTGTTTATGTGATAAAAACTATTGATTAAAAAAAAATTACCAATGTGGTCATAAATTTTTTTCTTGCATAAAATCGACAACTTCGTGACAGCTTGACAGACAAACGCCCCACTACCATAATGCGCTGAGCTCAAAATTTGTCCGACTCCACCCAAATAGCAAATACTAAAAGTTTCGACGGTGTGATCATAAATAATAAATTTAGATCTGGGCCCAAGGACTATAATGAAAGACTGCGGAGATGTGTAGGATAATTGAAACATTAATCGACTTAACCTGGTAAGAAAGATCCCTGAAAATTATCCCAACATCTCCGCCGTCCCTCATTACCTTCTTACCTTCCCACCCTTTTTGCCTCATTCCTCCCCAATCAACGTGATATAATAGGAAAATTGCGGAAAGGTGAAAAAAAGTGATATTTTTTCACTTTTCCTGCAAATCCTAGGGGAAATTGTAATGACGCATCAGTGGCGCACACGAGTAGGGGCAAGTGGGATTGGGCAGAGTCGGACTTATTCGACTCTTCAAACAATCGTAAAGTCTGTTTTTTTTAAAGATAATTCCCCAAGTCAAAAATTTATAGACTGTGAGATAGGGGCTGTTTAGTGGAGTCATTTTTTTTTTGTCTGGCATTTTGAGGGCTGAATGTGGCTAGTAAGCTGATGAGAATATGGGTGATTTTAATGCCGGCCTCCCGTTCGAAAATTTGCAGAAGAAAAAAATCGATTTACATGAAGATTTTTTTTTTTAAGATTTCAAATTTTCTGGCTTTTAAATAAAAGATTGACATTGATAAATAATTCACCCATGAAAAATACCAGTTGCTTTCCAATAGCTGAAGAAGTGGGGATGGGTGTCAACTTTCAAGAGAAAAGAAAAGAACCTTCTGCGCTTACTTTTTGTCTGGCAATCGAGAGAATAAAAGGTTTTGTTGTGAAAATAACGCTGAAAAATTGCCAGACGGTAATCACAGTTGGAAATCGAGTTTTCTGGCGAAACATTCTGTGGACATTTCGAACAGGGGGCAGGCATTAAAACCACTTATATTCTCATCAGCTAACTAGCCACATTCATCCCTCAAAATGCCAGACAAAAAAAAAATGACTTCACTAAACAGGCCCTATCTCAGGGTCTATTAGTAACTATGTTGGCAAAACAAGTCTTTTCTACATAAAAAATTTTAAATTATTGAAAATTTTACATTGTATTGCCAACATAATGTCATTTTGACTTTTATCTTTAAAAAAAAAAACTGACTTTACCATCGTAGGTGTGACGTTGTACACTACAGAACCGTAATGAGGGACGGCGGAGATGTTAAGATAATTTTCATCGATCTTCCTTACCAGGTAAGTCGATTAATGTTTCAATTATTTGAAATTGAACGGTAATGTTGCAATATAGTGAATGCGAGTTTCAAAAAAACTTACCTTGGTACAGGTGTTTTCAAATTGAGCGGCAGCGCTTTCAAATCCCAAAATTTTCTTAAAGCACCTGATGCAGCAACGGCCCTCTCGGCACCGGCCACGGTATTTTTAATGAGCATGGCCACGGTCATGGGGCCGACGCCGCCGGGCACGGGGGTTATATGGGAGGCGACGTCTTTGACTTCGTCGTAGGCCACATCACCAACCAACTTTTGGCCGGATTTCTTTGTTGGATCTGCCATAGATTGAAAAAAATATATTTTAGAAAACAACCCAATATGGCAATATTTAAATAACTATTTATTGGTAATTTGTATTGATTTAGGCCTAACAAACATAATTGTAAAAATCCTACAATAAATGTGAAGCAAATATAATGAAACATATATAAAAACGCGATTTTTATTCCCCAACATAACAATTATTGGTAATTATTGACTACCTTGACTATCAGACATATTTATGCTGTGCACTAAAACTGCTTGTGCTATACGATCAACGTTTCAAACAAGACTGAAGCTTTATATGCATGGTAAATTGATATTTAATCAAATACACTTGGGTTATTATTCTAAAACGGTACTTAAAATATTTATAAAATGCGTTTTTATATTCTCATTGAGACTAGCTTGAAATAGCCATCAATAAATTATATGTTTTTTTTTTCTATATTTTAAAGTAACTAAATCCTAAATTAATTTTTACATATTACTGTTGTTTTGGTATAGGAACAGTTCAAAATTTAACAATTTACTTTAAATTAAATGAATGATATGAAAATGGAAATTAAAACTAATTTTTGAATTTCTATTGTAACGTTTCAACTCGATGAAGATTTCTCAAAATAATTGTATAGAATAATATTTATAAATTTTCCCGTTCATAAATTGATCAATATTTCAATTTTCAATTTATTTCAGGAACGTTTAAAAAGTTTAAAAGAAATCTGGTAGGTACAAGAAAAACAAAAATTCCTGTGACTCCTGCTGCAAAACACTTCTGTCTGTGGAGAATGCTTTCATTTAATTTAGAGTTCAGAAATATTGCATGCCTCTGCAAAAAATTGAATATCTGAATGCTAAATGCTCGGCTAAATGCATAAAGTAGGTAAAGTTTGTTTTGCCAGGGTTTGTACTTGCCACCAGCATTTGCCTTCCTTGTTTAACAAATAAAAATTGACTGAAACAAATCAATGACGTCAAAAACGTTCGTCGGTTCTTAAACCAGAAGTCATTCATTTTAATTTGTCAAAAAAATTGAATGTTTCATATGAATTAATCAGTGGCGTAGTGACGATGCTCCGGGCCCGTGCTCAAAAATTTTACCGGGCCCCTACTCCTACGAGATAAAAAAATTGAAAAATCAAAGAAATGTATAATTTATTTTTAAATATACAGGGTGAAACTAAAGTATGGAAGCTCGGACACGTCGATTTTGTTTTTTTGCTTGAGATTTTTTCAAACCAATTTTTTATAATGCCAGAATACCCGAGAGAATACCATAAGGGCCGGTTTCTCAGTAGCAAGTTACCGCCGGATAAAACATAACTCTAGGGTAAACATTGCTACTTCACACGCTTATCCTGGAGTTAAAAAAACCAACCCGGAGGTGACTCGCTATTGAGAAACCGGCCCTTAATGTTAAAGCCTAACTCACCTAATTAAAGGGCAGGGGCAGCACAACAAACCACAACGTAGGGATTGCAGAATCTTGAATTGGCGTACCTGGAAATCCTGGCATAGTATGAAGTGGTTCGGCGGTACTGATGAATCTTGAAGATATATACGTTACGCGACAAGCGGTAAAATCGAAAAGTTTCCATAAAATAATAAAAGAAATCATAAGTCTACATAAGAATGTAAGAAATGAAGACTTTAGACTTTACCTACGTAGATATACAGTTCAACTGGTCAAAAATGCTAGGGTATATAGAGGATCCATAGAGAAGTAGTTTGAGATAGGACACCGATGGTCGGAAGTGCGTCGCTTCCAAAATACAGGGTGTTGAAATTTAAACAACCTCCTTTCAGATCATCTGAAGGGCCAGGTAGAAAATGGGGGTGCATTATACGAATTTTTAAATATCATTTCTACATCAATAATCCCTAAAAATTTGAACAGCCTAGCATTAGCCCTTCAGATGATATAAAAGGGAGCTATTCAAATTTCAGCATCCTGTATTTTGGGAATGACGCACTTCTGACCCTCGGTATCCTATCTCAAACTACTTCTCTATGGTTCCTCTATATACCCTAGCATTTTTGACAGTTGAACGGGGACACCCTGTAGATATATTATTTTTTATTTTTATATAAATTAGCGTCAAATGTATTTTAAAAACAATATTGACATCTAGAACCGGGCCCCTTGAGGTACCGGGCCCGTGTTCCGTGGAACACGCGGAACACCGGTGACTACGCCCCTGGAATTAATTGAGGAATTAATCTACGACAACCCTTTTTTTTTCTTCAAGTTTCAATGTCAAGTATGAACCCTGGTAAAACGGACCTTACTTATGGTCCTTATTAATAGGCGACGAACGAATTGGAAACTTATAAAGTTAGGCAAGACTCTGCAAGAGCCGCGAACAACTTCAAAATTTTACGTATTGGAACTTATTTTTTTTTTAAAGCATGGAAATTAAGTGACCCTGTTTTTTCATTATTGGACATAAATTAACATTAGTCCTAATTAGCATAATTTATTACTCTTTTGCATAATTAAAATTAAGCAGATTGCAATAATTTATAAGTCATTAGCTGTAATCTATGTAGGTATATAGAAATAAATAGGTAGGTAAGGTTCGTTTCACCAGGGTTCATACTTGACCTTGAAACTTGAAAAAAAAGGGTTGTCGTAGATTAATTCATATGGCACATACAATTTTTTGACAAATTAAAATGAATGACGTCTGGTTAAGAACCGACGAACGTTTTTGACGTCATTGATTTGTTTCAGTCAATTTTTATTTGTTAAAAAAGGAAGGCAAATGCTGGTGGCAAGTACAAACCCTGGCGAAACAAACTTTATGTAGTTTGTTAAAATTAATTGTCAATCAAAAACACTGTGCCCAATTCAAAAATGTTGTCAGCTCTTCCCATAACCACGATGTACCATGCATCACGAATTTCCTCGCACTCTTATACATGATTAAAGACCAGCATTAGCAGCTATTTTTCCCAATAACATTCATTTCGAATAATAATACAGTTACCTAGAAAAACCTCTGAGGAACAAGATGACACTAAACAAGCACACAAACTTTAGGCACACAAAAGAGCAAATCTGGTATTTTTAAAGAGGATTCACCAAGGCCGACAATAAAAGACAAGTCACAAGAAGTGGCTTTTACTTCGAATTAAAAATGCATTATTCTAGTTTTTTTAAAAGTTGCTAGACAATCGACCAAAAATTTATTCCCGTACTTTTTCGTTTTTTTTCAACCTTGCATCTTATCTGGTTTTGTAATGAGTTTGTATATTTAAGCTGAAAGTTGAAGAAACTTTGGTTGAAGTATCTAATATAAATCGGTTCCACAACGTACTATTCCCAAACTCGTGTGTATCTACCCATAAATTTTCATCTCTGTTACTCTGTTGCGAATATCATTATTTATAATGCCTTCTCTCCAGGTTTTTCTAAGCCTCTCTTTCTTCTTGCATTTGAGTTCCACTGTACAGGGTAGTCCAAATTGGACACTTTCTTATGGAAACACCCTTTATTTTTAGAGATAAAAAAAAAATGGACCTGGGCTCAAATTTAATGAGAAAATCAATGGCGGAAACAAAATTCTCCTATCTCTAATCGTTTGGCCACTAGAGGGCGTATATTTTGAGGTTTTTAAAAAAAGCGTAAGTTTTCCTAAATTTTGACATAGCACCTACTATACAGGGTGATCATTTTAAAACTTACCACCACTATTATCTCGGAGTTGAAAATTTTTTGGAAAAAATCCCTGAAACACGTCAACTATAATTTGAAGGGGGATGAGTTTTTACGCAAAATTCACCTCCCCCCTTTCAACCCTCCAGCCCCCAGAGCCACCCCCTAGAAAATCTTAAATGGGAAGGGGGGTCAAGGGCGATACATCATTTTCAGGGGCGAACCCATGGGGGGGGCAACGCCCCCCCCCCCCAATGACCACTCCAGTTGGTAAAAAAAATTCTAGTTGGTTTTCATTCCCCACGCCAGTTGGTAAGAGAGAATTAGGGCTTCTAAAATTGACTTAGACACATTCTAAAGAATAGAATTTTCTGAAGTTTTAGATACCTCAATAAGTTTTTTAAACGATAATTTATCTACTACATATTATCAAAAATCTGCGCGGATTCACCTGTTTATTTTCATTTCCTCTCTCTATACCTTTTCAACTTCAAATTGGGACTAAACAACTTTAAGTTGGGAACTAACAAAATCAAATTGAGAATTAACAATATCAAATTGGGAATAATCATATTTAATTTGGTACTAATCAACTTCAAATTGCGACTAATCAATTTTGATTTGGGAAGAAACAAATTCAAATTGGGAATAGACTTATTCAATTTAGGAAATTATATTTGAGACTTTGACTTTGAGTTTGTTTCTCCTTTCGATTGAATTCAAGTTTCAAGTCCCTTAGAGAATCATGAATTATTTCTTTGAATTTGAGAAAAATATTTGTGCCAGACATGTAGCTCATATTCAACGCTTTATACCTGATGCTCTAAACATGGGTGATTTATATAGATATAATGTACGTAATTTACCTACCTATCTATGAGAAATGTCAATTTAGTACTTGATTTATACAGGGTGTCCCAGCCGAGAGTGACCCATTTTAAATGCTTATAACTTTTAAACCAGGTGTGCTAGCTACCTGCGGTTTGCACCATTCTACTTCTCTTGGCCTAAAGTTTTTTAAAGTGGGTTGCAAATTTTTTTGCCTCCTATACAGGGCGAGTAAAAAAAAATCCGTTTTTACAACATCGAAATTCACCACTATTTTTAATGGAACGCCTTGTATATCACAACGTCAAAAAAAGAGTCATGCTTAAGGTATCCATGTACCAATAAACATCGTCCTCTAAACTTGAAGTTTTAGCCGTAAAAAATTGAGATCGAAATCATGGTATTTTTGCAAAAGCATCATGCATCTTCATGTTGTAGGTACTTGGTATCACTAGGTATGGCAAAAAAATTTGTAAATATCAAAGTTAGATATCAACTAAGTTTAAATACATTTTCCGAGAGAAT